CATTAAGTCCGCGGTGACTGTGGCGACGACGTCGGCATCATAATGTGTACAGGTGCAATTGTTATTTGTCTTGGCTGCCGGTTATTAACAATATCAGCTTATCGAATGGTTTTGTTTTATTTTTTTTTATTCCGGTGACGTGGCGTGGGATTACAATTTTATCGTTTTCGAATGTTAAATACTCCATTTTCCGGCAAAAGGGAAGCACAATACGCAAAAAAAAAAAAAAATAATAATAATAATAAAAGTATTAAACACACAAACGCCAATGTACGACGCGCACAAAAACATACGCTTCTGCGCGATCGTACGATCGTCCGAAACGGCTGATCTTTTTAGATTAATTTTTTCTGCGCTAAAAAACAAAAAAAAAAAAATACCAGGTGTTCGTGCGCACCTGCGGACGGTTTCGGTTTTTGTCTCGTGTGTGTAATTCATTAATTCATATCAGACAACACTATGCGATAGACGCTCTTACACGAAATCGCATTCCATACAAACCGGACAAAAACTTACTTATTTGTACGTACGATTATTTAATACCTATTCATCGTTCGGTTTCCAAATCAAATGTTGAAACGCACCTGACAGTGCCATCACGTCTGCACGATTGGACTAATGTAAAACGATGATCGATGATCGATTGGCCGTTTTTCGTAAATTTCTGTTCCATTTATTTTCTGTCCACAATACACTTACGTATTAGGCAATTAATTGCAATTAGTAAGACTCGGACAGGGAAATGGAAAATAAAAATTACCGGTCAAACCATATTGCACTTTTTACATTTTGATTATAAATTTAACCAAATGACCGTTGTTTAAAATCTTGAAACACTTTAGCAGTTATCGTTTATCATTTTAATATTAATTTATAATAATTTTTTATATTAGTCGGCATAAAAGAAATCTACAGATTATGAAAGTACAACAAATGTGCGTTCATTAAAAATAAAAAAATGACCGTTTTGTATTTTCTCATAGACAATTTTTCAGGGACTATTTACTTACACCGAAATTTCCCAACTTTTTCGAACAAAACCCTTTATTCTCAGTTTCTTTTCTTTTTTTGGAAATTTTGTTCCCTAGTCTCGGATCCAAAATTCAAATAAATTTTAAACTTGAGATTTTAGTAAATTATACAAGCTTAGCATTCGTGCCGTTTCGCGGATTTCGGGTAAAACATCACTGTTAAATTTCTCCGGAACATGCTCATCACAGAAATATATACAGCGATTTATCAATGATGGCATATCTGTACAGTATGTGAATTCGTAAATATCATTCTTAAAATTCTGTAAAATTCTATACAAGGACCGCTGATTATATTGATCGAGTAAAAAATGACGATCCGTTCGTGTAGTAAACGTTAAATATTTGAATAATTTGATTCGACGACGACGACGACGACGACAACGTGACGGTCACGAGTTTTGTTGAGCCGACGACGCGGAGCGAGTAAATTTAAAAGTTTGGGCACCTAATAAAGTCGACCGTCTTAAAAATAATATCAACAGCCTCTCGACCGATGTAATTAGTTTATTTAAATTGCTAAAATGTTGGTCGACGTTAATGATAATTTTATATCGTAATAATAAAGCCGCTTAAAACTCAATGAAGCCGCGCGCTGAAAACGACACTGCGCATATTTTAACCTTATATTTCGTGTTCTTTGGACTTCGTATAGATAGAAAGTGGTTGCACGGTTGTGATGTTGATGAATAATAATTTTCGCGACGAGGTTTAATTATAGAAATTAATACGGAATACGACGCTTGTAATAATTTCGATGTACTTGTATCGGTTTAATATGGGCTACGAGACTCTGCCGTTTTGGAGACCAAGTCGACAAAAACCGCGATGAACAAAACATGTTGTTTTCTATACGGTAGGTTATAAATTCTGATGAAGGAAGAGAAAGAGGTTTAAGAATGTCTGTAATCAAACTATATTATGAAGTATCCTTTTTTTATTTTTTTTTTTTTTAATCTGTGAATCACTTTTTTATACCATAAATTATACTCCTATTTTAAAACGTAGCCCCTTTTCTAAAAACAAATTTCTTTAAATCGATGGGTTGTAGCGTCATTTTTTGATTTTCTTTACAGTTTCTCAACAATCGAAAATGAGTTATTTCCTATCTCTGTATACAAATTTTCTACCAGAAACTTTGTTCCATTCAATATAAATTCAAAATAAAAAAATATAAACACTTATACACTAAACGAGATATCTGCTATGCTGGTAAGATAAGATTGGTTGGTACTACATAATTCGAATATAAATTTAGATTCAAATATACCTAATTATCCAAAATTAAAAAAAGATATTAAATATTGTAAAATTGTTCTATCAAATATTTGAGCGTTATCCGAAAACAATTTTATAATTTATTGCAATATTTTTTTGTGTTTCAATTTTTAACAAAAACAATTGTATAATTTTATTCGGTTTATTTGTAAATTTTGAGGTGATAGTTTGTGTTTGCATTTATAACGTATTATCCGTAGGTATACTCGGAGAAAAAGACATTTTCGAAACAAAAAAATTTAAAAAAAAATGTAGGTGATAAATTAATTTTTAATAACTATCGCCGTTTCTCGTAATAATAGTAACGTGGATGCTAGTCAATATATAATATAAACTACCCTAAGATTTTTTCCGAGAGATGAAAGATATTAAGTTTTTTTTTTATTTTACTGATCATAAATCAAGTTTGAAGTACGTCGTAAACCGGGGTACTTAAGGGTAAAATAGGTACTAAAATGGAACTAATGTATATTGGTATTGTACAAATATCAGACGCAGTAAATATTATAATGAGACCAGACCTTTGTTAGACCTATTTTAAAAATGATTGCAATTTGACTATTACGTCATATATATTGTTTCATATAATTGTAATACGTGAAATAGAAATTTCCACATGATAAAATACGCAATATCACAGTGGCGTAATCATGGTGACTGAGAATCTGGGTACTTTTTTTTTATTTTTAATTTCTATAAACTAAAGTCAATAAAACTATAATTTTTTTGAATAGAATTAAATGAATAGTTGCCGTTATCTTGTTTACGACCATCTCATTCGATCATAATAGTCATTGGCCAAAGACAACAACAGTTGTTCGGATTAAATATATTGATCATTTTGGCAGTTCATAAAAGTGTATTGGTTTAGTGCCAGAAGACGTTCTAAATGAATTGCTTCTAAATCCACGAAGAGTAAATTTATTAGTATACCGTGCGCCTCACCCTCCCAAATTAAAACCTCTTCTCGGGTAAACACTGATAGTATACTTAATAAACATTTATCTGTGGTTGTAGAGGATGTAGAGCCCTCCCTCTCCCCCCCCCCAAAAAAAAAAACATATTTGAGATATTTGTACCTATGTATTTTTATTATGTTTTTGCTGGAAATTATATAGTACGTCTTCTTTTTAACGATCTTTAAGGCCAGCTCCTTAGCAATCACTCGTTCGACTATTTCTGTTCTTATTTATACTCCAGATTCCATTTCTACTGCTCTTACAACACTACACAATCCTCTTGTCTTAAGCGAGATTTTCCTAGTGATCGATTTTCTGTTGCGTTTTTTTTTTTTTTAGTACAGTCCTTACTGTTGATCCTCGCATGCTTTCTCCGTGCATTATCTAACTTGCGCATTTCATTTTTATCGCTTAAATTTCTTTTATAATGCTATAGGACGTTGAATAGGATTCTCGGGTTCTCGCGGTTTATCGTTCATTTTCCAGTTCGAGCGTCCTTAATAAAGTATAATTATGTTCATTTAAAAAAAAAAAAAAACAATTCCGTGTCTACGCGTTTCGTTACGACAAGATATCGATCCCTACTCCCTACTCCCTCCCCCCTCCCCCATGACCTAGTCCTAATTACACCGCCGATAACCTGAATAAATTATAGACGACGAGAAATTTCGAATTTCGAAAAGCCGCGCGCATTAAGTGTTACACAATACCGGTGTCTATCTGCACGGTTTCAATTAAACGCGAATACGTTTTCAATTATCAGGTTGAAAAAAAAAAAAAAATAAATAAACCGTAGACGCACGGTGATAAACATTATCGTCGCCGGCACAATACTATAACAGCAACTACGTAGGCACCTCTATCTGGTATACCGTTAATTATATCAGAACATGTACACGAGACAAGAGTTTCTAAAATAACATGACGAATTCGTTTGACTATTATACGGCGTTACGAGCGCGGCAGGCAGGCAGCACCCGACGTATACTGAAAACGCCGCGTCGGCCTGCTGCTGCGGCCTGCCGACGAGTCCCCCTCCCCCGCATACGTGACGATATCACGCGCAACACCGGTGTCCTATCTGCGAAACGGCCTGACGAGATGCCTGTACGCGACCCATAGGCCGGCTGTCGCAATAGCTATGGCTCGAATGACTCTGCTGTGCAAACGGTGCAAACGAAATTTATTTATTATCGTAATTTTTTTAACGACGCACCGCGCGTCCTAATACGACCCGCCTACGTGTCGACGCGCAGCCGAACCTCGCGCCGTCGTGCTTTAACCGTTTTTTGTTTTTTTTTTTTTTTTTTCACCTGTGCACGCGTTTGTGATGTTATTATTTATACGGCATAATAACATTATAAAATAATATAGCGTGCGTGCATACGAAAATGACCGATATCGACGGCGGTGCCGTAAATCGTAATGGTAAAATAACGAGACGATATTTATTTATTTTTTGCCGTCAATATTATAATATAAAATATAAACATTTTTTTTTTTTTTTTTCCATATAGGTAGGTATTATTATTTTTATTATTATGCGTGCCACCCATCTAGGTACGTGGCGATTAGTGCTGCGCCGCGTGCGAAACAAATATCCACGTTTATTTACGTGTACAGGGTGATCCGTTCAAGCGTCTACACTCGATATTCCGAAAACTGGCGACTTTTTTCGACAATTTCAGTAGCAACAGCATCGGTTCTGTTTCAATATATTGTTGTACGGTGGCCGCGCGCCGTTTGAAAACCGATACCGGACGGCCGTTACACATCCCCGAAAACAAGGGGCGACACGCCAAATGACGCCGTAATACTTTTTCGGAACATTCGACGCCGACGAAACGAAACACTCTGTATGTAGCCCACGATACCATAATATTATGTATTATATTATATTATCATAATAATGTACCTGATATTATTTATTTATTTACGATATTATGTAGTATATTATTATTGTGTTCGATTTATCGGAAACCGATACCGCGGTAATGGTAAAATACGTGAGCATAATGGCCGGTAAATATGTTATAAGGTTTCGTTCTAGGCCAAGGTCGCGGCCCGATATATTATAATGTATTAAAATTAAAACGCTATGTTTATACACGCATCCCATAATATTAAATGTTCTCGTTGGACCCGAAGCGAATTGAAAGTATTATTATTTTTTTTTTTTTTTACGCTGGCCATTGTTGTACAGGTGGGAAGACGGGAAGGTAAAAATATAGGGTCAACTGAAGCGATTGGAAACGAAATTTTCAAATTCATTATATTATAAGTGACTTTAAACATTTAATTTATGTTTTAGTTTTTTTTTTTTTTTTTTGTGTGTTTTCTAAACTATTATGCCTACATTTAAAACTCCAATTAGTTTTCAATTGAAACAGCAGTAAACTTAACGGGAAAAATACCGTTTTCATTAGCCCCGTCAAAATAATACTGTTTACTATACTGTAAACCGTATACTGTGTATTATACTGTTTCGGCGCAAATGGAAATTGCGTTATGATTTTTTCCGCTACTTGAGGTAAATACAAACGAATTGTGTAAACCAAAAAATGACGTCAGTGTAATTTTTTTCGAATATAACTTCAAAATATCAATATTTGGTTATCCAAACATACCATACACTGGAGCACTGGTGTAATATTATAACGTACAAAGGTTTAATGTGTACCTATTTTTTCCGCTCCTTGATTTTCAACTAACATAGTTTCCAACTTCCCCGCTGACCCTAGTTATATAGCTTATAATATACTGCGTAAACCATTGCGTTGAAAAAAAAAAACGATTCTGAACTGGATTAATCCGGGTTCGGTGCTGAGCACCGGTGAAAAATCACGAAAAATCGTGAACTATATTCCGATGAATACGGTTTTACTCGGTTCCGTATTAATGCTGAAAAATGCGAGGCGAAAAGATAGAGACAATTATTGTTAAACTGATTTTGAATTTTAAGCGAATACAATTTCCGATTTAAATTTATCACGGCACGTGTTTAACCGAAATTTGCAACGGCGTTTGATCGTTGTGTACAAATTGAATTTCCTTATATAATGCGCCATGACACTATACATATACGCACACGTATACAGGTATACATACACCTTCTCGATTTCCCACCTACAACTGTAACGCACCCACGGTTGCCGGTTTTTTCGTTAAATTGTTTTACAACGCAAAAGACGGTTAAGACGCTATCTCCGCTATATTATATCCTATCGTTATTATCTCGTTTATGAAACACGGAATTCCAAAAACGCGCAGACGACGATGTCAGACCTTCTATCGTTGTTGTAACTTTATCGACTGGTTCACCTTATTGTACATACTATCACATTTCTCATTTGCGTTATAACACCGACCGAAACCCGCATTTTCGCGTGGAACAACGTAACAGCCGCGCGATGTTTAATTATACGGCTATTAATAACTATTAGATGTCAAACGCAACAATATGAATCCGTCGTCGGTTATTTGGCAACCCGCTGCAGTTGTAGTAGGTATTATGCGGAGTAGGCAGCGTGCGTGTAACATAACGCACCTACGCCCTGCCCGTTATTGTACGTATATTTTTGAATTCGAGCGAAAACACCAATATTCCTCGAGTATATGGTTACGGCAAATATCGTCGGAATAATAATCCCCGAAAACCGTGTACGGTATATATACAGTTTACATACGTATTTACAACAGCCCTGAACATTTCGCGATTTTTTTTTTTTCAAACATTTATTTATAATATACGAGTTTATCCCTGTGAAGGATATCTCAAGGTTAGGCGTTTACGGGGTCTATAATATATATTAAAAACGTGTGTATGCAAATTTTTATTTTTATATGAGGAACGAAAAATGGTTTTTTGACAGAAACGAGGAAAGGACCTAGCTCCTTTTTTTTTTTTAAACTTGAACTAGTTCCGTTTCGCCAAAGTGAACTCATTTATTTTTTAAAACGAACTTCCCTACTACCGGGTATAAGCGAATGGTTTAAACACTATTTCGACCGCACGCGAATTCGTCGACGATTCCATCAGAAGTGTTCATCGAAAGTACACCATATTATAACAATACAAGCAGGTTTGTTAAATAATTCATTCGACGACGATTAAATAGACATATCAAACAAATTGTCTCGCGTGAAATATGTAAATTACCAAATTCAGCTTTAGTCATAAACCATATTAGTATACGAAACGCAGTGTATCGAATTATATGATCGATGACGACCGCAAGTCATCCGTTCTCATGTTACGATCGTTTACCGAAACTATTATCGGTTTAAGTGTAACAATGGGTAAGAGGGTAGCGCGGGAGCACAGGCTTCCGTCCAATATCGTTTTACCAAGAAAAGTAAAAAATAAAAAAAAAGCCGAACATCCTTGACATCGTAGATGCATTTTTGATTAGAGGAACACTTTGAAAGGTGTGCAGGATAATTGAGTTTGCATACGGAAAGCATCGATATAACATCAAACTGCAGGTAAGGTTAAATTATTGGTTGTGTTTTTCCTATTGTAGCCAAGGTAACCTAGAAATCAATAAAGATAAAACTAATGTGTCGTAATTTCGTTATTATTTCTAAAAATATTAGGAATCGAATATTCATGATTTTCTGTGCATATATAAATGCATTATTGGTAAAATTATTTCAATACAAAACCTGTAGTTTTAATAATATGGTGTACAGACCAAAAATGTGAAACGTATAGTTCTGTTATTGTTAAATACGTAGTATTCTTCGTTTTTTTATCGAAGAATACTTAATTAAAAGTAGAATTGAATTGAATAATACTTATTACGACACTTTTTCGTGTCTGATTATCCGTTATTATAACAATTGATTATCGTATCTGAGTATAACGCGATTATTTTTTTTTTCTTTCGCGACCGTTAAAAATAAAGTTTAGTTTATTCCGCCGCGGTATATACTCCCGTTATTTCGTGTGTTCAATCGAGTGTTTAGTGTTCAGTGTTTAATTGATTTGAAATGTACCTTGTTTGAAGGAATACAGAACACGGTGAAAATATTTTATCCACAGTAAACAATGTTTTATTTTGTAAAATTTGCGAGGTCAGAGTTAATGGTAATAAAATGTATACGTTGATTGCGTTTTCCCCGATAAGCTGTTGAAAATATTAAGATGTTCAGATTTTTTTTATTTTTAAGTACTTGTTAATTATTATAGATCTATCAGTCCGTTAGAATGTATTTTTTTTTTCAAATTATTTAAAAATAATATCAAATTCCATTTTTTCCATATTCAGTGTTTTTATGAATATTTTTTTATCCGTTTCTCCGAATTTACGTTCACTTTATTTTAGTTTTTTGTTACACTATTGTGTACGTTTAAAAAAATTATCTAATATAATTTTCGGAAATTAAGGAACGAAATTCGAAAACGTGGCCCGACCGATCTCGTGTACATTAGGTTAGGTTGGGTACCCAAACTTCACGCTGATCTCAAATCTGTTTACGGAATTCTTACCGTTTCACTGAGTCGATCGGACTGATTGTCGAGAAATCGGTCTGAATTGCCATACGTATGCTATGCGTTAGACGAACAAGGAAAATATCAGTATCGAAAATCCTTTTCCGGAATCGTCGGTATGCGCCTAGCTATTTTCTTACCGCCCGCGACGCAAACCGCTGGTACGAGATAATATTATTATGATTGGGAAAAAAAGAATAATAATGATAATAATAATAAAACGCACGCTGTAAATAACAGCGTCATCCGTACGGGTTATTGTGGCGCCGTCGGTATGTGTCATGCATAAATAGCGGGACGGGTAGGGACGGTATTTGAATATTATAAGCTCGTTTCGGTATATCGATAATAACAATAATTTTATTCGACTCGGAAATTGTGTACACGCGATAAAATAAAACGAGAACGATTGTTAGAGGTTGGGTTATATCGGTATACGGTACGCGAGCGGACGAGAAAAATAATAAATCCATTACGGTAATACGAGCAAAGGGTGTGTGCATATTATTATTATTATTACCGTTACTATAATATCGCTGTAACAGTTGCCGGTGGTTACAGTGTATTCGGTGTTTGATCGTTACTTCACAAATATAAAGTAGGGTTGAAAGTATTGTAAAACGTTGACGTTGCGTTGTATTTGGAGGAAATTATTTTTAATATGATCGCTTCGTGGTGACCGACTTTATTATCGTCAAAAAAAAAAATAATAATAATAATAAACAAAAACTGGGACCAAGTTCAGTTGAACGTGCGTTTATGAACATAAAATTAAAAAAAAAAAAATGTACACATTTTTAACTAGAAAATATAAAACAACAAATACGTTCGTTTCGAATTGTCGAGCATTTCAAATAGCCAAACGGATAAACCAAAAAACGTCAAAATTATGTACACATTTTTAAAATATGCCGGACATAGGTACTTTGCACCGTGGATTGTTGCCACTGTTGTTGGTAGAAAGTTTGAAACGCACGCTGAAATACTTTTTATATTATTGTTTTGACTGCAAACGGAAGTTCTGACCAAACTTCGGTTAAACATGTTCTGGTAAACACGAATTAAAAATTGCAGTATTTAATTGTAACTGCAAAACAAAATAAAATTTTTCGTAGTTTTAACGAATTTCGACATGCATTTTAATTTAAAACGTTAATTATTAAATAACATTTTTTATTCTAAATTAAAAAAAAAAAAATAACTCGATAATTTCGAATCACTATAAATAAATCAATTAACGACAAATGTGACCCTTCATATAAAGTGCAAATTTAAGTGTTCAGCGAAGGTTTTAAGAATTTACGATTATTTCCAACTGAATTAAAAAAAAAAAAACAAAAAAATCCAATTTGAAAAAACACTAACCATTTTCCTGCATAAATATTTCCGTTTTCCGGTGGTTTTTCTCAATTTTTAGAAATCTACAAACATACAACAACGTGATTGAATTCTTATTGTAATATCAAACCCGACGTTTGTTCACTTCAGTCCGTCCATAAACCAATGAGTTTAAGCTCATCCGGTCCGGAAATAGCCGGTAGAAATGTTCAAAAGTAA